CACCGTATATTATAGCGTAAATAGGATAATAGGCGTTAATGCGATGAATCGCTCATTTTGATATCTCGTGGGAAATAGGGGGAAGCAGTGTAAATGTTGATTCGCATCTTGGCTGGGTATTGAAATCCTTCAATCGGCTGACCCTAAAAATACTGCACCTGAGCGGAAATCGTTCCCGGATTTCCGTGCGGAGGAGTTAAAAGCTTCACGAGGCGATGATGCGGATACGAAGCACCCTTCCGTATATCGGAGCTAATTCGGAAAACGGGCGAGAAATTCGTTGGATATGTGCATTGAGACCGAGGCAGAGAATATTATCGGTTTTTCGCCCTAATCTTCAGCTTATCAAAGGGCACCTACGCGTTGAACCTGTGCGTGAAGATGATCCGGATCGAGCTGCAAAAACGCTGCTGGCGGGACCCATTCATTTCCCGTTTGCTGAACCGTTATCTGATGCAAAATTATTCCGGGGAATGAATTTCCTTCCTGGAGCTCAGGTGGAGAGCGTTTGGCTCACTGCGTTTTCGATATTCATACCCCCGGGTTCGTGCTGCTTCCAGCACTCGTACCCCGTGGGTCGGATTGTGTTCTTGACGCCTCCGACGACGTGATTAATGAGACTTCGCGACGCACCTGACGTGTGCGGGGCAGCCGTTGGTCGCGGCGTCATAAATTCCGGTAATGCTGTCTGCTCCACTATGTTCTGCACTACATAAGAAATGTGTTCGGCTTAATATTCCACGGGTCGGGTCAGCAATAGCTCGGTCACGCCAGCGTAACAATTCTCTGCTGCCTTCCACCTTGTCAATGACTTCCCGGGTCGCGGAGCTCTTCGAAAAGTTGTGCTTCGCAGTATACCAGTGTTACCCAACCCGTGGTCCGCGGACCAGCGCCGGTCCACAGAAGTTTTTTTTTTGCCTGTCGGCGAAAAATTCTCTTCAGCATATTGAATTCATCAGAAGTAGTGATGAAGTGTGCTATCTTCATGTGACATTTTAGGAGGACAATGGCAGTTGAAATTTTCTGATGAAAAACAAAAGTTGGCTTTTCTCCTAATAACCCTTCAGACAAATTTCCACCTGCTGAAATAAATTATTTTGATTTTTCATTCTGAGATACCTTTCTTCAAGCCCACCTTTCTAATTTTTGATAACATTCAGCTATAGCTGCTTAATTGGTTCTTGACAATTTTTGCACAAAAGGGGGACACTTTTTAAATAGCTACCTTAAAGTCTTTCAAGCAAAAAGTTTTTGAGTCTGCAAAAATTTTATGAAACCTTGCTGGTCCGCAGACTTTTTTGTTGGAAATTGCCGGTCTGCAAAATTTTTTCGCGGAAATTTGCTGGTCCTTGGGCCCAAAAAGGTCGGGAACACTGCAGCATATGTGTTCTCGCGCGAGGGCTACCACTAACTTTTCCTCCTGCTTTCTGGCTTACCCAGCATCCGGATCCCTGCTCATTGGCAGGAGAGCCCAGCCCTTCCGTTCTCTATTGTTCCTAGGTCATATCCTTGAGAAGATGCCCCGGCTGCACGAACAATGCTCGTAAGCAGCGAAGAACGCGTGACAAGCGGAAGGATTTCAGGGCGAGAAATTATGAAAACGCCGGCATTTTCTCGCAATCACTGTTCGAAGGAATCTCTGTCATCGTTCCTGCAGTTATACTTGCAAGGGTAACAATGCGAATGTGGTTTACATTTAGATCTTTTGAGCAAGGTAAAACACGCAGGAGCTGTAATGTAACCAAGCGAATGTTGCCCAATTTGTTAAATGCTCCTCGCTGTTGCTGAAGAATCTTCGTATTTAGTCCAAGCTACGTTTCTTTATTTTGCGCATTGTTCGCTCACCATGCAACATTTCAGAATAAAGCTCAGGATTGACGGATTCTCTTCTTCGCTGAAGCAAAAATAATAAACACAGAAACGGAAAACGTCTTTGCTTTGTGGAATATTTCCTTTCAACAAAGTTGATTACGCTACTTTCAAAGATCAATTCGAATCAGCGTGTAATAAGTGCTTAGCTTTGAGACTGCGTATTTCAATTGTATTTCGATGTTCTCTAGAATGACGTTTCGGAAGAGGTAATTGACGAAAGTAATGATGCAAAAGAACCGAGAGTTTCGTTCTATGTGAAGATTCGCCACGCTCAATTAGCTTGATGTATTTCCCACGCAATTTCAGCGGCGAACGCTTGCATGAAATTCCGCGTGCATTTCTTTCTCAGAAAATTTGCTTTTCAGAGTTTTGTTGCGAAGCTGCAGGAGACCGATGGTGAATCCACTCTTTTTTTTCTGGAATTCTGCCTGGGAATATTTTTCTCATCAGGAAATATTGACTGTTAATGGGTAATCAGTGTCCTTTAAGGAAATACTGTACTTGCTTTGAACTGACCCGTCTCCGACCGGCGAGCGACGCAGAGTTGAGTTCACTTGACCCCACGCCCCGTTTTTCAGTGGGTAATCCACGGGGTGTTACTGATATGTACGTCGAACAAATGCTGCTCGCCATTACACTGCGAACAAAAAAACAAAACAAAATCTGGGGCTATCGTTTGTAGACCACCCGGGAACCATGCAGGAGCAGAAACAAAACGCACAATTCCGGTCGATAGTGTTTTCTTCGCGATTACGCGCGCCGCGATGCGAAAGCTCGCTTCCGCTCGTTGATGAATGAGAGGTCGTTACGCGTCATTTCGTAGGTGTTGCCGTCTTGTCCCCCTTTCAAGCCGTAGTACGACAAAGTAAAAAACCCTCGGGAGTAGGGCACCTTTTTTTTCATGACCCACCCTCCTTTTAACAGCAATCGTTACCGCGCCCCAGCAAACAATGTCCCGTCGATTAACATGCCCGGATTGAATCCTGGGAATCGCCGACCTGCGTTTCTCACGCCGCTTTTGCGCTTCCGCAACGTCGCGAGTGTCGATGAACTTTGCGGTATCAGCACCCCGTCGACTTGCTTTCTGCGGACAACCCGCTTAATAAGCCGGCATTTATCGCTTCATTTATCTAAAAATGAAAGGAGATATGCACTCTCTTAAAAAAAAGTGATGCTAGACTGAACGAAAGTTTCGTCGCAGGGCGCAGAAAAAGCGAGACAGGGTGTTTTGATTCGAAAGCGATCCATTATCATTCTTCGGCAATGGGGGCGATTCAGAGTATCGTTCGTGTTTGCATAAAAAAGAGGAACGAACATGAATGAGTCCCCCTGAAGCTCGCACGGGGGTCGAAAAAAAAGTTAAATCTAGCGCTCGTGTCAATGTGTCCGATTTGATGGATGAAACAATCTAGATGCATATTTTTATCCCCCGCACGCGTGGGTATATTGAGACATTGTTCAGACAGAAGTTGATAGAGCTCAGCCCTTGAACGAGATTCCATACACGGGAGTCAATGTGAGTCTCAATGAGTTTCCGGTCGGTGGACAGATTTTGACCGATTTAAGTGAAGGCTGAACCCGACGCTGATCACCGAATTTCGACATGCATCACATTTACATAAGTTGCAAAGCTATTTCTCAGAAACCGTTGGACCAAAAATACGTCTAGTGTTCTTCTGCGTTCCGGGTATACAAATTTTAAATTTTTTCGTCAAGTAAAGTAAAACAAATGGGGTACAAATTAAAATTCCATACTGAGTACGCTCAAGTGTCAAGACATGCTGATTGACTTCGTGTGATTAAAAGGCGCCATCCTCGGAAAAATTGTGCAGAAAATTATGTCAAAATGCTGGAATCATGCAGAAGTTACGCACCCGAAATGGATGGAGTAAATACTGTAGTCAGAAAATGATATTCCCATTCTCCTCCAATTTAAATCGATATGAACATTTTCAATATCGATTTAAAGAAGAGATTAATGTCTTGGAAGAATAATTTTCCATTTTGTATTGCACAAATATTTAAAAATGATTCCGATTACAACTCTTTCGGAACCCCACACTGAAAAAGTCGTCTGGCCATGGCAAATTTTGATTTTTCGTGCATCTCGCACTTCGGAGAAAGTAGGAGAAAGCTTAGATTTTTCTGGGTGTCATTGTGGCCTTACCAACTTTTCCTCACCCTATGTCATTTTTCTTCGGACAGAATCCTTTAATTCTTTTTGAGTGATGGAAGAAGGTATAATATTTGCATATCGGGAATAGTCCTGTAAACTCTTCAAGCATCGTTCTCTCAGGAAAAAGGTAGGAAAACTGTGGTCGTGGAGAGGGAATATGTAAAGTGGAAGAAAAATGCAAACGTGATCACCAATGAAAGTTCTTCTCTTTAGCGAAAAATCTGCGTTCACTTTTCAACTGTACCACAGCATTAAAAGTTGTCTCCTTTAATTCAGGACGTAAAGCTCGTACACTCAAGTATAGGAATTCGCCCGTATAGTCGATATTTGTCACGAGCAGACTTTTTTTTTGCTCCCGAGACACAATTTCGACTCGCATCAATGCATATTTGACAACACTACAGCAGTACCCCCTCTGCTCAATTATAAGACGTCATCGATTGCGTGTCGAACCTTTCCATTATAGGCGTCTCAAAGGCGAAACAATGCTTAATTTCAGTATATGGTGCACTTTCATTAAATCCAGTTTCTCCGGAATCAAAATAGTCTGCAAATGCCAACGTGATCGCCTCAGACCCTTCCAAAAAGTCGTGATTGTAACCATTGTTTTTCGAACGGGAAATGATTGTAGGGATTATTTATATTTTTATCCAGAAGGCTGTGCTGTCAAAAGCAATCACTGGAAAATCCAAGATGATATCGCATACGAGACAAGATGAAATATATGAAGCACCTTTGCTTTTTGTGCAATATTTTGCGAAAATTGATCCGCATCTGCGAGTGAATACTGCGCGGTAATCTGTTTCTTCTGATTTTCATTTATTAGCGAGATCCGGTATTGGCAGTCCACCAATATAGTATTTTTTTTTTCTTGAGGGGAATGAGTCCCATTATTAGCAATGTGGGGCAGGGACGAATCAGTCGAATTAAACGCTTCGTGTTCTGTCAACAGATGCTACTCGGGAAGTCTCGGTAGACGGCAACATTCCCGCGAGACCCGTGCGCGGGGATGAAGTCATTCTGGAGTGCAAATACCGAATCATGGTGCACCAATCGCCTCTGTACTCAGTGCGGTGGTACAAGGACAACCGAGAGTTCTACAGCTACCTTCCGTCGAACAGCCCTGCGAAAAAGGCATTCAAGGTGCCCGGAGTCCGCGTCGACGTAAGTGACCTTTTTTTTCTGCGATGCTTCGTTTCTACGCGCTTCAGCACAGGTTCGATAACCGATTCCCAGGTACCCGCGTCCAACGACTCCCGGGTGCTCCTCTTGCCAGTCGATTTTTCATCTTCAGGAACGTACAAGTGCGAGATTTCGACCGAGGGTCCGTTTTTCTTCTCGGGCTCGTACGAGCAGGAAATGGTTGTCGTCGGTACGTGACATCCGAAGCCATTGGAGGGCTTAGTTTGAATATCACTCTTCATATTTCAGCCACTCCCAAGGGCCCACCCGAGATCAGTGGCGGGAGAAGTACTTATCGACCCGGGGACTACGTGCACGTGAACTGCACCTCAGGGCCTTCGAAGCCAGCGACTGAAATCATGTGGTATATCAACGGTCATCGAGTGAGTGACTCTTCATCTCCCAGCATTTAAAAGGAGACATGTTTTTTTCCAGATGCTTTCGCGACGATAGGCCGCACTATTTCTCCGAAAAGTGCACCGAAAATTCGGGTGCGGCCTGTACACGCATGTAAGGGGGATATTTGAGCAGTATTTTACAGTTTCTACGAGGGATCTGTCATTTTTGAACAAAATGATAATTTCCGTTAACCAACTTATATGAGGAATATTTTCACACACTTTCGTGAAAATACGAGGACGAAAATAGGCAGGAAACTCAGCACTCCTTCATTTTTTGAATTTCGTATTAATTACTCCTTTCATAAAAAAAAAATTATGCAACCAAAATTGCACTGAAATTTAGAAAACTGTGCCGTCAATCGTTAGGAAAAATAATTTGTCCTGACTGCAGACATTTTTAAGTTACTATCCCTTTCATAGGCTGCCACATACCCTGGTTTAGGGTAATTATGGCATATGCCCCAAATATACAGTAAATAGAATCCCAATTATCCTTGGCAACGATTAGGTTTTCTTTCCGAGATAATATAATTTTAATACGTCGGATAATCGGACTTTTTTCAAAAACGGCTCAATTGAAAGCTGTTAAAAACATCGTTGACCAAATTTATAATTATTATTATTTTAAAATTTCCTGAATTCTTCGTTCGTTACCTTAGAATACTTATGTGTTTATTTTTTTCATCGCTTTAAAGGTACTCAGTATTTAAATGGGTTTGTGCCTTCTTGATTAACAAAAAAAAATGGATCTTACGCCATTCCCGGTTGATTGGACTGCTGATGATCGTTCCGCAGCATTTGAGGCATATACGTATATATAGCGGATAAACCTGTTGATCGTCCTGGGATATTAAAAATTATTTCGCAAAATTTAAGTAATCGCGATTATTACCCACATGCATGAATCTGTGGTGTTTATGCACGACCTATATAATCTCGTGAATGGGACATTCATTGTTGATTGAACCGGGAATTCTTCATTTGGCCATCACAAAATTTGCTGCGACAGAATAGTACAGTATAAGAATTTTCTACCCCTATCAGAGAAGCAGCGTAGACTTCGTATAGACTATAGAGGATGTGCAATATTTTACCAGATGAAAAGAATTACCTTCACGGATTCTTCTTCGAGCGGGTTCATTACGCACATTTTTTCCGGGTTTTTTCAATAAAAAAATGTGCAACTACGATAAAACACGCTTTATATCACGCATTGGAAAAGAATGCCGCGCTTCTCATTAACAAGTAATCAAGCTTAGTTTATGACAAAGCATCACTTTCATCTTTGCCGTTTCAATTTTCCTTGCTTATTTATCGGATAAATTCGTTTTTTCCTCAAGGTCTGTGAGGAATTCCAGGAATACGCTCATATTATAGCGAAAATTAGCAGAGAATAAAACGGTCACGAGATTACGATTTTTCGAACAAATTTTCATCTTCGTAGCTTTTTGATCAGGCGCACGATGCCCTCGCATTTTTATGCGGACATTCTCCCATGTTGGTGTGTTGAACGGAACATGAATTTCGCACGGTTAAAGTAGAGGTATTACATAAGACATTACACCATGTACGAGGGTTGGTTCATAAATTTTGCGACTCAGTCACTTTCCATCATCGGAGGCGGAAGAAAATTTTTAATTTTTTTCAATCCTTCGCAGACTTCTAATCAATTTTGGCCCACCCAGCTACAGATGAAGACGAGAAAAATACCTCGAAGTGTCAACTTAAGTGATCACTTTTCAAAAATGTTGGGATCCACCGAGCACATTTTTAGTCTAGCCAAGATTTTGAGTGAGATTTTGGATCCCATATGGCTGAGGAATCCTTCTCGAGGGTCGCAGCAATTCTTAATTTCGTTTGGTGAGGATCCTCTTTGATTAGAGCCTTCACACTGGCCACATTTTGCTATTGGGTGAATTCTGGGACGTCCTTCACGTTGGGAGTCGCTGACGTCAAAATCACCATTTTAGAATGTTTTTCCCATCGGAACAAAAAATGATAAAATTTTACAAAGGATTGAACGACAAAAGAAAGGATGGCATTTGTCTCTAATGGTGACGGCAAGGGACCGAATTGCGAAATTTATGAACCAACCTTCGTAGCTCGGTGTAATGGTCGGTATACAGCCTCAGAAATTTAGCGGGAGCCGGATCTGGTTTCCGGAGCCACCGCAGTATCAAGCGCGTGAGACGCGTGACTTGGTGGCATCGGGTGATTTGCATGCTGCTCGCACCTCTTTGAGCCCGGGCCGTGACTCAAGTCGCGTCTCCTTGTTCTCACCGAATAGGCCGACGGGGGCTACTTGATCCATTATGATCCGCAAATGGTCGAGGGCGGCCTGGAAGTGTCGACGCTGGGCCTCAAGTTCCAGGCGAGCACTCGGCACTTTCCAGACGGCACGCTGAACCTGAAGTGCACGGCTACGATGGCGTCTGTGTATTACCAGAGCGGCGAGAAGAAAGCCACCGCTCACGGGCACCACGCCATGCTCAGCAGCATCAGTGAGTGCCGCATTACTGTCCTTCTCTTTTTTTGTGTGGAGTCGATCAGGTTTGCCAAGTCCGTTTAATCAGCTCTCTTCGTTTGACGAAAATGTGATTCCGCTTTTGTCGCGAATTCTCCTTCAATTTATGTAAATGCGATTCCGAGTCGACACAAACTCCCCTACCTTTACGGTATATATATATTTTCTTTTTTAAAATTGGCTTTACTGAGTCGTTAGACTATCTGGAATGAGCTAAGGGGATTTTGCATCTTCCTTTGCCGGACGAGAAAAAAAATCCACTTTTGTCACGAGGCCCTGTACATTTATCTGGCTTTGAAATATTGATTCTTTTGGGAAAAGATCAAACTTGCCAGGGATGATTCGGAAGTTTTAAAACTAACTGGAACACTCTTGTAGTATTTTCTACGTCTTTGCCAAACGAAAAAGCGATTTTTAGGGCGCATTTGACACAAGCTCCTTGCGTTTTATTCGTTTAAGAAGTCCGTCATTTTAAGATTTCGATGATTTTGGGGAATAATTTAACTCATTTGAATGGATTCTGAGTCTTTTGACTGAATGGAAAAACGACACGATTTTTTATTCATTTAACCAGCTTTTTCGCAGGATTTCTTACTTATATTTTGAAAGCGAGGTCCAGAATTTAAAATCTTGACTCGTTTGAGGAAGGATCAAACTTATGAGTTATGCTTCCATAATTCTGGAGATGAATTGATACTGTACCGCACTTTCAGATGATTTTTTCTGCAAGTAAATATGATCACTCTTTTGACAAAAGCTCTCGTCCTTTTATTTTGAAAACAACGAATACTATTTATATATTCAATTATTTTGAGAATAATCAAACTGACGGGGGATAGTTCCTAAGTTGGAGAAGCCTGAGAAAGGTACCGAAATTTGAAGGATAATAAGCAAAGGTGTCCGGAATTTCCCAATCAAAAGGAAATATATATTCTCCGTCTATTGGATAGCAAGAAAAAGAGGGAAAGATCCGACACCGCCTATGATCTTCCAAATACTGTAACCCTGATCAGATGCGAATGGCTTGTGTTGAGTGTCATTAGAATATAAAGATTTTATTTTTCATCGAGGATTTTAGGCGTCTCAGATTTGATGATTTATAATGCTATTCCAGGTGAGATTTCACATATTTTTGCTGAATATTGGCAGATTCCGGAAGATTAGTTTGGTTTGATGTGCGGTTGTATCAATTTCACTCTCATACTCTTGAATAATTGGGCTCACTTGAGGCGATAAATCGTCGGGATCTCGGCTCGACCTTTGCGAATCTTTAAAACGAAACAGTACTTGGAAATGAATCATGGAATGTTCGGATCCATTTAATCCGTAGTTCAGTTTACCGACATGTTTTGTTCATGAAATGGCTCGAGAGGCAGAATTAGACGTGACCAAGAACTTCGATGACGGGAGCCATTACTCGTGCTGTCAAGGCGTTTTGCCGGGTCCAGTATTTCGATGGCAAATGCAGTCGCTTCTGCTTAAAGCCCACCGAATTTGCCGGGACAGTGAAAAGGCCGCTTGGTTGGGTACAATATATAACCGACGGGATGATGACGCATCTTTTTGCAGGCGGTGGGAGCAGGTCCTCCCTGACATTCCGAACCTGGCTGCGAGTGTTCCTTCTGCTCATATCAATGATCACACGACACGTCTCTTCGACATGATGCAGCTCAAGACGCGGGTGCGGGCGAGCTAGAAGTCCCGGGAAACTCCAGGATTCGCGACCACTTCGAACTCCTTTGTTTAGCTCATCCCCGGTTCCAGAGGGTGGTGTAACGGTGTTTTAGTTAGTTTCAGAGTGGTGCAATTCTCGGGAGCCGCCAAATGTCGAGGAACACCGGTCAAGTTCACGTCCGTGGTCATTCCAGTGTCCTGCTCTATCATTGCTGAGACGAGCAGGGCAGCATCGCGTGGCATCGAAAGGGCGGATCAAATGCTTGCTGTCCACCAGTTGCTAGAGTAGGGCATTACTAAAAAACACTCCAAATTTTCTTTGGCTTTTCTCCTCGGCTAGGAAACGGTGGATGGACTCGTGTTCAGCATGATTGATTTTGTTTTCCTTGCCCAATGTCACCAGGAAGAAAACTAGCTGTGGGCTGACCACTCTAGTCTCGATCTAGTCATTGCTGTTGAGAGAAGGTGGAAAGTGCCCGAGATCTTTTCACTGCTATTGATACATGCCACAGCTTTCTGATTTAATGCTGCCCGCGAGTCTCAGCATGGTAGGCGCGGTTTCTTTTTGGCAGTAATCATTTATGAATGTGATTGCGGACTTTTCATGTGACTGTTTTGATTCAACGGATGCGCAGCTGCGAGTGAATGAGAGAGAGAGAGAGATTGCATTTCGAACGGCGTACCTTCCATGATCAAAGTGGCGGTGTTTCGTCGAGCACCTGAGTGGAATGCCTTTTTGTTCTTCGTCTGGTTAGGAGATTGATTACTGAGGACGATTGCGCTCTTCCCTTCCCTGTCATATTTTTTGATGGATGCAAAACGGACTTATTGTTTTATCGGGTACGGTTGAGTCAATCGTTGGTTCTCACGACCAAAAAAAAAAAGGCCCCGTTTTGTTGGAATGCGATTGTTTTCGAAACCGTTCCTCCTCTTGACCATGATTTTGCGTGGCTGATATAAACGGATTTTGCGAAAATTTGTGCATTGATTTTGTATTGACATTTTTTTCCAAAGCTCTACGAATGCACAGCAGGTACCACCAAAGGAATAATCGCTAAAAAAAATAATCCGCTCAAATTAATTGCATGGTACTCCCAATCTCTTCGTCAAAAAATTCGCGATAACAAGATAATTTCGTTAAGTGGCAAAATAAGTTGGAATATTGCTTGAAGTCGATGAAAGCTGTAAAAAAAATTGCACCCTAACCACTCACGCCCACCGTGGTTGAACGCACAGAGATATTCAATGAATTGTACCGATGTGAAATTGCATAGGTTATACATTCTATTATGCATACATTTAATGCACGCAATTACATAAATTTTTCATTATCTATGCATCAAATAATTTCAAGTGGACATACAATTTTTTTCCGGGTCAAAGCATGAGGAGGAAACCTTGCCAATTTTCAGGCTGGCTCTCTTCCGGTAAAGAATAAGGAAACTAGAAATTCAGCCAAGTGTGGTTTTTTGATCACAGCTGAAGCGGAGTTTCCGAAGTCAGTCTGAGGGATTTCGTGGATGCACACCCGCCCTTTTTTGCTGAAGGGTCACTTTGCTTTCGCTCACGCTTTCTTTGCGATGAGATCATGTATCTGCGCAAGCACCCATGCCAAATCCGAAGAGCTGCAGGAAATATTAAAGTTCAGCTCGGATTCCAGCCTGAAGGTCAAGTCTGCATCAGTTCCATGTGCTGCCTCAGTTGCGGATCTCCACCCCCGCAGGCATCCGCAGGTCACTTGCTTCTGTCATTTACGTCGGGATTGAAAAATTTACTTCACGAAAATATCGGCAGAAGTGCACCAGGAATAGGTCCGAAATCCAGAAAATCCACTGGAACCTCGCTGGTTTCTTGGGATTTCCATGAACTGTGTTGATTCGAGAGCCCTCATACTAAATTACGAGTTTCTTTATTTTTTTTGCCGCGGATCCTCCGAAAGCACGTGCGCTTTTCCGGCGGGATCCCAGCTGCCGTTTTCCAAGAGCAATCTGATTATTGTGTAAGATACATTCGATGCAACTAAATAAACGATTTCGTTGATACTTCTCTGCAAGGGTGGGGATACGAGATCATCGCATGAATTATGGCTTCGACTGAATGGTTCGCAAACTCGACGATATTTTCTAAAGCCAGCCTTTCCTTATTTTTCTATCTTAGCACTCAATGTTACCACGAAAATTTTTGAGGAACCATGATGGCGTTTGCTTTCTGTTTCATGCAGTCAACTTGGACTGCAGGCATTCATGAAACAAATCTTTTGGGTACATTTTAAACCACTTGAAATTTACACATGGTTTTGAAATTTACAAACAAATCTTCGTCGCGCATGCAAATATAAAATGCATAAACTAGATAAGTTTGATAGTTATCTTTGTTACCCAAATATTTTAGAAAAATTGAAAATGCTTCGAATATTTTCAAATCACTTGTAATTTTTTTTAATTCAGGGATCGGTTTGTAAAATTGATGCACAGTATATGATTGCTTTTAGTAGAACAATTTGGGCTGACCGGACGAAAATATAGATTCTTACCTTCTTAGTTATGAAAAATCAAATAAACAAATTTTGAACATTGAAACACGTTATGAACTTATGCTTTGGATCTCCGCTATAAACGCAACATCGATTCCGACGATTAGAACTTTAAAAAAACTGGTCTGCGATGAAATAATGCAGATTCTTCTAGTTTTCGGTCAGCAGAGTTCGAATGCTGACTTCAGTTGAAAATATTGAGGATGACTGGCTTCCTTCTAAACCATGTGTAGAATCAACGGAGTCCACCGAGATCAAAATATAAGAAAAGTGTGCCTCACGTTCGCAGAGAATATTTTTCTTTGCATTTTTACACAAAAGTAAAGCCAAGTCTTATAAATAAACGACCTTTAATATTTTATTAAATACTTGAACTCTTTTATTAGAAGTTCGTTAGCATTTTCTGCCCTTGCATCTGATGACCAAATAGAGGGAACTCGACCTAGAAACATGGTAATGGATGCTAAATTTCATTGCAAATGGGTCGCATTGGTTTTACTAGGAGTTTTTTTGTCTCTGACGCAAACGAATTTACTGTAATTGCTTGGGTGGTGGCTGTTTAAATTCATCAATCCATTTTCATGCGTTGTATGGGAAAGCATAGCAAAGTATTTCAAGACCTCATCGAAATAGAATTCCTGAAGGGCTCTCAAACTCTCTGAATTCACGCTGTTCTTTACATCATGTACTGTTGGCACTGATGGAGCATTCCGTCCCTCCGTGTCTGAGTGTTATTTGCCATGCGTTAAATGTATTCCTACACTTATAAAAGACGGCTTCATGGACTGGATTCTTGTATTTCCCGGGCACAGAGCATGCTTTCCCTTGCCCGCCTGGAAAACGCGTGCCGTGTCGGAGGGCCTTACTTTTTAGCCTCCGAGAAAAGTAATCATGTGCAGCACACATAAGGTCGCGATTTTCCGGATTCGCAGAAAAGCCCGGGTGCCGCAGCCGCTGCCACTGGGAAATCAGGCTGCGTGCTGGGGCCACCAGGGATGGTTGTGGGCCAGCTCTTGGTGACGCTCCCGGGGCGGTCATGACGGAATACGCGCCGCGTGTGTCGCCCTCCGTCCAGTCATGTCGCTTCAAAATCTTGGACCACTGCTGTTTTCCCGTCGGACGCTCGCCGACGGCGTCTTGGCCGCGACGGCAGAATGAGAACTGAGGGACGCTCCCGGTCTCACCATTAAGAATTCGTTGATAATTCAGAGCTTCAGTCGGGAATTATTCCGGTTTCCTCGATAGGGGAGGCCGGAAAGTTTGCGCAATCAAGGACGGTAATCAGATCCCCCGAGTCCCACATTCGCTTGTTCTTCGTCATCCCGCCTGAAGGACCAACAATGAAACAATTAGTTTGGAATGTAAGATTCAACTGTCGATAGACGGCGGTAATTTCCAACACGCCCTCGGTTGTAGCAAGACCCTCCTCAGACATTTCGTGTTCAATCTTCTGTCACACCAAAGTCATGATGTTGAGTGCTTGCAGAAGTTTTCAAGATACTGAACTCGGAGCATTCTGTTTGAGCATCAAATGAGTTTGAACAGAAAGAGCACAGTTCGACAAGAAAATGACGAGTAGCAAGTACAAAGACTGGAGACGAGAAATATAATAAAATAAGCATAGCAAGAACCAACAATTGGATTTTCCCATTTTCTTGGCTTTAAAATGCCCATGGCCACGGACGAAATTTTCACTGGAAAATTTTTATACTGAGATTACGAGATTACGAAAATTAAGATTTTTCAATTATGATGTTTATAATAACACACTTCATTTGATGGAACTGTTAGGAACCGTCGAAGATTTGTTTCAATTACAATTTTTTATAACGAAATCATGTATAACGTAATTTTGCTGTGCATGCAGATGGCGAACCAACAGAATTTTGGTTTCTATTGCGTGCCCCGATGGGGTCAAGTGAAACTCAAACAATCTCTTGAAAAAACGAAATGGGAA